TATATATATATATATATATATATATTTCATCCCTTGTTTTGAAAATATAATAGCATATTGAAAGGATCACATGATATTCTCTCATGAAGATGGGTGACTGTAAGGATTGCCTTTCCTTCTTAAGACAGGATTTCAAAAGGAAACTTTTATTAAGCAGAAGTGACAGCATCCGATTCAAAGCAATGTCTGTCTACCCCAGGCAAAACCAGTATACTGAAAGCAGCAGAGACCCCTCCCTTTAGCCAGAATGTTAATTCAGCCACTCCCCAGGTGTGAAGATGTTATTTCCTGGTCGCTCTGAGAAAACATATAAGTATACATTCCCATACCCTCTTTCCACTGGCTGTTAGCATGAAATAAACCACATGGCTTTCCCTGCTGTACATCTCCCCAAGAGGTGGGTAATCTCATGTCGCTTGGGCGCCAGGATACCAATTATAAAAATACTATTTGTCACAGGCAATATAATTGATTCAAGTTCAAGACCCCCCTTCTCCCAATGGCAGGATCACTTTTTTGAGGAATCAGACAGTGACATTCCTCTTAAAAAGATGGGATTGGATCCATGATTAAATCCAATCTACTGGTTAAACAGGCCTTCAGAATAACCTAACCTAAAGTAGCAGATATTTGTTTAATATGCTACCCATCTCACTGTTGAAGCAACTTTGGATGTCTTACAAAATGATAAAAGGATAAATATAAAAATGATTAAAATTAATCGGAATATAGACTAAAGACCAAGAGAATAGAAAATATGTGTGTGTGTGTGACATCTCTCTTATCCTATCAACTACCTCCAGCATAGAGGGCCCCCATTGTGTCCCAAGCCACCCAGCACAGCCAAGTTTTTAAGGTCCTTCTGGAAGTCCAAGAGGGTGGAGGCAGACCTTATTTCTAGTGAAAGAAAGTTCCAAAGAGGCCACAACAAAAAGGCTCTTCTAGACCCCACCAGCCAAAAGTCCTTGACAGATGGGAGCCTGTCATCACAAACCCGTTCCATTGGAGTAAGCACCTCAGATATCCTGGACCCATAACATAAAGGGCATCAATATTTTTTTTAAAAAAAAGATTTTCGTTATTTTTTAATTATTTTATTTTTGCATTTATTTAATTGGATAAAATAACAGCCTTAAAAAGATTATTAATTATCATAGTCTTCAATTTATTCCATAAGAGTGTAAACATTATTTTGCCTTATCTAATGTCTAGATAGACATTTCAAATCATACTTCAGAGCAGAAGATTAAATTTTAAACTCTATTTTGTAAAAGCGTATCCTGCATTATCGAGCAAGATACATATCAGGCATTACATATCTGAGAGGAGGAAAGTGGCTGTCTGAAAGCCAGTTGCCATGGTACCAAGGCAGCAAATGTTAGTAATAACAAGACAGATTAAAGACATCCTGTAATTTATATTAAAATCTCTGTGGAAAGGAAAAGGAAGCCTTGCCCTTAAAAGGCAAAACTCTTTCCTTTGTGAATTCAAATTTCCCGGCTGGGAGATTTACTGCAAAATGATTGGTCAGCTGCATTGGAAGTCAGAATCAGTTTATTAATAGGAAGGCAAGTAAGAAGAAATCCTTCAGCATTCCTGAGATTAATCTAATCTTGTGAGTAGATAAACCTTTTTCTTATACCCTTCAGGTCCTTTGATTTTGTAAGTGTGAACCCTTGAAGTCTTTGATTTGTGTGTGTGTGTGATGAGTTCCTGTCTCTTGAGATTGGGATCTCTTCCTAGGATCTTGGTAGGAGTAATTTTGTAATAATAGCTGCTTGTTCACTTTGTAGCTGCTTGTTGCATTAGGTTGCAATATCCTGAGTTTCCTGTTATGCCTTTTGGTTTGCTTTTCACAAGTTTTTATAGCTTGCCATCTATTTGATTTCTATGGGAAAGGATCTTAGCTAATTTGTAAGCTTTTTCTGTATCCCATGCAAAGGTGGGGGCTAATGGAGCTGACCCTCCTTTCTTTTAGGGAAATTTTTCTTCCCCTTCTGATATTTTAAAATTTCTTTTCTTTTCCTAGGAGAGGGTGAATCGTAACTTCCAACAATCCCATATTTTTTTTCAAAACACATTAGTGTTTTGACAAAAGTTTAAAAGGTGGTCAGATCAGGGAGACTTGATGGGTGCTTTTAATTTTTCTGATGCAAAAGGCGAGGCATCGAAAAAGAGGCAACAGAAAAGGATTCTTTCAGTGGCTCCCAAAAGCTTTCAACCATGAAGGTTTAGCAGCCTGGGAAAACTTCTGTTTTTTTTGTTGTTGTTGCTGTGTCCAATTTTTCATGCCAATTAATTTTCAGATGTTTGATGTATCTTTTTTATGAGCTTACAGTCAGGTTGTAAGCACAATTTTCCACAGCCTTTAAATTACAGACTGCCCATTTCCAAGGTTATGGTTACTACCTGCCTAGCTCTTCCAGGGTTTGTGAGGCCAAATTGAGGTTAGTCAGTGTACAATCCAGGCTGTAGTGTTTTTAAAATTACACACGATGAGCACTGGGACTTCTACTTATGAGACCACCAGTGCAACATGTTCTGCTTTACTGGGCAACTGGGCAGAATCATTTGTGAGTCACAGTCAGGGCTTGGGATTTGGAGATCTCGTTTCTGCTATCTCTTCAAGTGAAGAAATTGCCTGAGGGGATGCCCTCTCCCCCATGGGATTAGCAGGTAGATATGACTGCTTGCCCAAACATGCTGGACAATTTTCCCTCCCACCAGACAGAAGTCTAAGGTGTGCAGAACTTGCTGGGCCAGCCACTCAAATACAATCCTTACATGAATACATCAAACTGGTTACGATATAAATGATACAAGAAAGAAAACATTACAATGAATTTGTCAGCTGGTGCTCCATTCAAAATCCAAGAAAGAAATATTTAGACTCCATTAATTAGAGAAAAGATATCTTTTACTGGAAAATCAAGTGGTAGCATCAAAAGAATTCTGAATCTGAGAAAATGAGCGCATAAATCACATATACAAAGTGATGGCAATGTTCCCCCCCACAATAGTTCAAACTGTCCATCCAATTAAAAGTTGTATATAACGTCATGTGGGCATCTTCAGGTGGTGATGAGGCATCTGTCCATTGACCTTGACAAATTTTGATAAAGAGGTGCACTTGCGCATAGCAAAAGAAAGGAACAAACAAAAAACTCCCCCCCCCCAAATTATACATTTTTTTTCTCTGAAACCTCCAGCTCGCTTCCCATAACTATGTCCCCCCTCT